TTCTTTCTTTCTTTCTTTCTTTCTTTCTTTCTTTCTTTCTTTCTTTCCTTCCTTCTTTTTTTCTTCCTTCCTTCTTTCTTTCCTTCCTTCCTTCCTTCTTTCTTTCTTTCCTTCCTTCCTTCCTTCTTTTTTTCTTCCTTCTTTCTTCCTTCCTTCCTTCCTTCCTTCCTTCCTTCCTTCTTTCTTTCTTTCTTTCTTTCTTTCTTTCTTTCTTTCTTTCTTTCTTTCTTTTTCTTTCTTTCCTTCCTTCCTTCCTTCCTTCCTTCCTTCCTTCCTTCCTTACTTACTTTTTTCTTCCTTCCTTCTTTCCTTCCTTCCTTTTCTTCACTTCGTTCAAGTTGAAGGTTTGTTTCGTCTTCCCCTTATCTCTCATTTTAGTAGCCCACTTGGTCAGAGATCCTACTGAGTCTGACTTTTGGGGCTCACTCCACCCCCCCCCCAAGAACCACACTTTCCCGTTTGTGGGGGATGGCTGAGATGAGGGGGTCTCCGTGCTGCATTTGTGTGCGTGGTGCTTTTTTAAAATTTAGTTTAGTTACTTTTAGAATCTGCTCCACAGAGCCTTTTCCTCCTTCCGTAGCAAGCCAAGATCTTCAAAATAAGGACGAAATTCTCTTCCTGGTTATTCAATTCTGCTCCGAAGTCAGTCTCAGGACATTCCCTTCTAGGATGTGGCTCTGATGTTGTGGGGCCTCCATCTCCAATGCCAACAGATCTGCCCCAATACCTGAAAGTACCAGGATGACAATGTTGAAGATCCCTGTAGCATCCTCCTCTCCATCTTTCCATATTGGCCCCCTGATCAGCAGTCCTGCTGATTTGGAAGAGATGGCTCCTGCCTTTTCTTCAGTAGAGGTGTACGAGGCATCATCAAGCCAGCATTGCTTGACAAGAAGCCGGGCTTGCCACCAGAAATTCCAAACATTGAACTGTGTGTGTGTGTTTGTGTGTGTAAGGAGGGGGAGGGGGGGAGATATTTTGTTGGTTGCCAACAACGCCAAAAGGCCACTCCAGAAAATCTTTCTGGTAGAGTCACCCAACTCTCATTGTGGTCACATAGCCTATCTTCATTTATTAATAACAGGCACAACAATCGTTGAATGGCGTTGGTCATCCCTGAGCTTTCGATGCTTCTGGCTTCCCCGATCTCTGGGAGCGCAATCTCCCACTCTAAACTGACTCCTAGCAAGTTTGCTTGAAGGGCGTCCTCTCATTTCTATGGAAGCAATTGCCAGGGGCTCCCCAAAGGCTACCAAGCAGCTATTCTCACCGCTGGAGAATTTTCGGGTCAGATTTAAAGAAATATCCATGGAACAAAATCGCCTAAGATCATTAACATTTTGGGGCCCGTCATTCATCCTGACCTTGGAGGAGGCGAAGGGAACCTACTGAAGAAGTCTCAGGGAAAGGAGAAGGCGGGCGCCCACATTTCTGAAAGGCAGATCAATGAATACTGGAAGAAGGGTTTTAAAATGTGTGCGTTGTCTTCAGTTCTGTTCATCTCCTTGAAAGATCCATGAGCGCACCTCTGAGTGTGGATTTGTGCAAATAAAAGTTTATATTTCTGTCACGGTACAGAATCTATTGTTTTAATTAATGTTCACTTCCTCTGCGTTGACTACAAAAAATAGTATATATAGGGCGAGTGTCAGGTTTGAAGGAAGGAAAGGTTATTACTGAGCATTTCCCTACACAAGGCCTTCGGATTTATGTGGTCCTCTCCTGTCAAATCTGTCACCAACGCGGACACAATAATTTAGACCTCTCCTTTTCTGTCCTGCCCTCCCCCCCACCGCTTCATTTTTGACCAAAAGCCAGATCCCCCCTCCCCCCCTCCGCTAGCCCCTCGCCGCCTAAGCCTTATTCATAAAAGAGTTTTAATCTGATTCTTGATTAGGCTTTTTAAAAAAAACATCTCAACGCAGATGCCAGCAAACTTTTCCATGTTTTGTTTTGTTTTGTTTTCCAGCCAGTTCGAAATAGATGAAGGAAAAGCTGGAAGCGAGGCGTTGGATTAGGCAGGGAATTTCGCGGTACCTTAGAAGGATGAGGGAGTTAAAACAGACAAGGGAACTCGGGCTCTGTCACTTTAACTGGGGAACATCTGATTTCCAACTCTGGCAGATGGCTTCCTGAGCCCAGATTTGCATGCATTGTCTTGAAATCTGTTTTTCGCGTCGGTGCTAGATAGATTTCAGAGACAGGTCTATCCTCCCAGATCGCCGTACAAAAGGACCAGGGGTGGGGGGAGTGCCGCGGTGGGGGTGGGGGTGGGGGGGAGAGAGAACTGACACCAAGCCGCTTTGCATTGATATACAGACGTGCTATTCTTTCCAGCAAGACGGACCGACGGACGAGGAGACAAGGTTTGCAAGAAACGCTCTGCGCTTAATGTATCTCTCCTGGCTTTCAAAAAAATAAAATAAAAGTTTATAAAGAGAGTGCTTGCACGCGCGGCTTGTGCCCCGTTCTCTGTAGGAATGGTCCGTGTGAAAGGTTACAGTTTTTGAACACGCCTCGCCTTTTCCTCGGAAGTTTCCCCCAGCCAGACACCTAGTTCTGTGGAAAGCGGTCAACCAACAAGCAGAGCAGGTTCAACCAGGGCGCCTTTTCCACCACCGGGAATCGCTCAGAAAGAAGCCGCTCGCGTATAAGCCCAGCTGTGAATTCGCCCCTTGTTTTATTTTATTTTACTTTATTAAAACACACGGACACGCACACCCTCCCGTTTCTCTTTTCTCCCCGAGCCCAGCCAAGCGGCGGAGAGCGACTGGAAAAGGGGGCTTCACAGTCAGAGCGATGGCAGCGAGACCCCAGGGAATCCATCGGAAAGGTGTCACAAGTTCGATCCCCCCCTCTCCCCCGCTGGTCTTCGTTCCCAGATTGCAATTCCCGAGCAGCAGCTGGAAGTAGGGAAGCGACCCTCTCTGCAAGCTGGAAGGCTTTGGGGTGCTCCATCGCTGCGTTGAGACGCAGCTGGAAACGAAGCTGCCTTCCTGCCCCCCCCCCCACGCCCCCTGCACACCCCCACTCCCATTTCCCTCCCTTCGACCCGGGTCAGTTGAACAAGCCGAAATGCAAAAAGAAAGAAAGAAAGAAAGAAAGAAAGAAAGAAAGAAAGAAAAGAAAAACGAAAGAGAGAAAGAACGAAAGAACGAAAGAACGAAAGAAAGAAAAAATTAAAAAAGAAAGAAAGAAAAAGCGCTCGGCCAAGCGACTGAAGTCCACCCGCTGCTCCGGCGCGTCCAAGGCTCCTGGGCAGCCCCGCCCCTCCCCAACCCGAGCAAGCCCCGCCCCCTCCTGAGGTTAAAGCCGGAACGTCGCGCGTCGGCCGCCTCCTTTTTCTTCCTCCTCCAATGGGGCGAGCCTATGCAAATCGGCGCGCCTTCCTCGGCCAGGCCGCCCCGCCCCTTTCCCTCAGGACTTTCGCTCCCCTGGCCGTAACCCATTCATGGTGAACTCGGTGCGGGAAAAGCGGCCGCGCGTCGGCCCCCGTTTTCTTCTTCCGCGTTTCTTTGGCAGCGGTTTTCGCCTCTGCCTTTTGCCACTGACCCGGCTTCTCTCCCCCCACCTCCCTCCCTCCTCCTCCTCCTCCGCCTCCCTCCCACTTTTGCGGTCCGGCCGGTCTCCCTCTCTCTCTCTCCTTCGCCTCGTGGATTTAGGCAGCCGCGAAGCCCACCCGCGGGTGTCTCCCGGCGAGCAGGTGACCGGCGCTCCCGCGGAAAGGACGTCGCCGGCAATGCGTACTCTTTCCTCGGCTCTCTCCCTCCGGCAGCGGCTGCAGAGAAGATGATTCGCCGCCTCGGAAGCGGCTGAGAGATTCCCGCGACTTCGGCTTGCAAACATCGAAAGACCGGCGCAAAGCAACGCTGCCTCTCCCCCCGCCCTCCCCGCCTTCCTTCCCTCCCGCCACCGCCGCTCCGTTCCCTTGTCTAAGGCTCCCTTTTGTTTTGCTTTTAAAGGACCGGAGGGCCCTCCAAAGACCCTCCAACCCGTCCTGAAAGGCGGAGGCGCTTCGCTGCTCTCGCTCGGAGAGGAATCGGTGCCGTGTGGGTTGCGCTGGTTTGGAAGTTCGCTCCCCCCCCCTCCTCCCCCGTCGGAAAGCCTAGTTGGGTTTTGGAATAAACTTTTTTTTTCTTTTTAAATGTTTGGGATCCAAGATACGTTAGGAAGAGGGCCGATCCTGAAAGACAAGGTGCTGGGGTCGGAGATGGATCCGGTCCGCTCTTGGGTCAGGAACGTTGGCGTGGTGGATGCCAACATCGCCGCTCAAAGGTAAAGTAGATCAAATCTTGAGTTTGCAGCTGGCTGAGTTCCCTTCCTGCTGGGCTTGTTTGGGGTGTGTGTGCGTGTGTGTGCCGTCGCCCTCTTTGCTCCTCGGGCCCCTTTAGATGATCGGTCCCAGACCGATCCCTTCCTCGGTTTATATTTGTTTCCTGCACACATTCAGTTGGTCTGGGGAGATCTCTGCACCCTTTGGAAAGAAGGACCCGGCGCTTCAGTTGTGTGTGTGTGTGTTGTGTTGGCCTAGTCAACTTCGGAGGAAGTCGTCTTGTGGTGGGATTGGGGTTTACTTTTCAGTAGGCAGTGAAGGGCAGTGGAAAATAAGAGGCCCGTTTTCCAGAGAGTTCAGGATGCTGAACTCTCCAGCAGGTCTGAGAAACCAGCTCTCTAGGAGCTGATGCCTGGCGTCAGGTTTACTCTGGAGGAAACAGTCCTAGAGTGATGCTGCCCAGCTCCTTCTCTTAAGAAAGTCGTCCCGTCCCGTCAGCGATCCTCATTTTCTAGTGCAAACGTCTCTAGGATAGGATAGTAGTAGCCTCCACGGCTGATGGCCTGATTGATCTTCGTTAGAACTCCCTCCAACAGAAGTTACAAACTTCCAAACTGAATTGTTATTTTCACACCAGCCTTTAAAATCCTTGGCATTGAACATCTGGGAAACATCTGGGAAAGCATGCAAAGGAACCGAGAACCCGATTTACCCACTTTATTTCAGGACCTAAAGCTTGAGGGATAAGAGGTTGCCCGCCATCCTCACCCTCTGATCAGCACTCGCTCATTCTAACCCGATCCAAAGTGGGCAGGATGCCTCTCGAAGACGAGAAAGGACGCTTGGTAGACTTAGTGCTGAACCGCGAATGACATTTAGGCCTGATTCACACGAACCCGTTCAACCCGTGTGATTGATTTGGTTAGCGGGTTGAGTGAACTCAACACCTGAGGCACTATAAGGGTGGTGGGTGGCTAGAATGCTTGGCGAATACCAGCCAATGGTGGTTTATTCAGTGATACTCAAACCATGGCTTAGAGCAGTGTGAGAAGAGCGGTTGTGCTTGGAACTGGAGTTCGAATCAAACTCTGTTGAAAAGATCGTGCTAAACAAGGGAACTCAACGGGACCCTTTGGAGCAAGGGCTAGGCTAGGGAAACCCAAGGAAGGGAGCTTGGTATCAGACTCGTGCAAGACTGGGGTCATCTCTGCACTTCTGTGGCCACACCAGTTCGAGGGTGTTAGGTGCCTGGAAGCTGAGTAACTTGGCCTGGGTGAATGACTAAAGGGAAGCAAAGCAGATGCCAGTTGATCTTTAGGCTGAATTTACACAGCCACAGCAAAGACAGTTTTAATCCAGCCTGCTTCCTAAAATCAACCAACATTGCCTGGATTCTCAGACCACGCGATTTTCAAATGACAACTTGGCGGGCTTCACAGAACAACACCACGAGTCAAAAAGCCAAGAAAGTACACATTTGAGAGTTTCCTGTGTTGTGTGAATTGGGCCACTGAGACTGGGCTAAAAGAATGGCACGCCAGGAAACGCCCGCTCTGCTGCGCCGCTTTATTCGCCCAGGCCTGCTCTCCATTTCGGCTGGCTTCTCAGCCTTAAGATGGGAAGCGACGCCAGCTGAGTTCAGGAACTTCTTGGACGTCGGAATCGCCCTTCGCAGCCACAGCTTCTCCGGCATCTCCCGGTGAGGCCAAGAGCGCCCGTGCCATCCTTCCCCACGGATTAAAAGTACTCCTCTGCGTGGGGAGATTCGCTTCTAAACGGTGGCAGGAAGAGAACCAAAGCGGCGGGATCTGCGGGAGAAGTTTGAACTGAGCCTCAAAGTTTGCAGCCATCCGGACTTGGTGAGGAAGGACTGGCAACGGACACATTGCCTCCAAAACTCCACGCTCCCGAAACACAGAACTCTCTCGCTCCGAACCGCCGCCGCTGGGAACCAAACGCCGTAAAACCACCACCGCCGACGGAAACCGACCTCTCTGCTCGCTCCTGCACGCTTAACTTGGACCGCTGCCGTGAAAAATCAAGTCTTACCCCGGAGTAAAACAAAAACCCTTTGGACTCCGCGGAGAGGGGCTTCGGCAGGATTGCAAGAAGGACTAGGAAACTTTCCTTCCCGCCCCCGCGAGCCCTGCAAATGTACCCTGGCCTCCTCAGGGGTCAACTCGAGCGCCAGGGAGGTTGGAAAGCAGAAGCCGCCGTTTTGCGTCAGATGCAGCGGGAATTGCACGCCGAGAAAGGGCCGGTAAACTCCCTCTCCTCCCCGAGGCGCAGAGATGAGCTGATGCAAAAAAAAAAAAAAAAAATTAGAGTTTCGCTTGGATGCCAGGGACAGGATACCCCGGGTTTGGTTTGGTCTGTTCTTCGAGGGAGTTAGACACAAGTCCTTTCCTTCCCCTCTTGAGGAGTAAAGTTCTCCCTTCGGAGAAGAAAAAGGCCGGGTCAACTTTCGCTGGGGGTGCTGGGGTCTCTCGTGTATGAGGAGCCTCAAACGTTCGGGCAGGTCTTCCTGCCTTCCCACCTGGGGCTCCCAAGTCTCCGGAGGAAAATAAGAGACCCCGGATCTCTCGTGGAATCTCTCGGTGAGCCAGTCTTCATGCATTGACACGGGTTTTAAAAAGCGGAATTTTTTTTTTGTACTACTCGCCTGTCCGAAGTTGGCTTGTAGTCATTTGTTTGTTTCTCCTCCAGAAATCAAATTTGTCTCGATTCTCTCTGTAGCTGCCAAGGCAGGCGGCTTTAGATCACCCCTCCAAGGGGATTTGAAGCTCGCCCTTCCCTTACAAATGTTCCTCATTTAAAAGAGGTGCAAAGATTGTTCAAGGACAATTTTAAACAGAATGTTTCCCAAACTAGTCCCTGGCCCTAAACACATTAGCTTGGAAAATTGATCTTCTGACCCTGGGGGGACGGGAAATCCCTCTTCCCATCCTAAAACCACTCTTGCCCGACCCAAGTTTTTCACAGAAAAAAGTTTCTCCTTCTAAGTTTCGATATGAGTTTTAAAAAATGCGTTCTGAGCTTTTTTACTCAGCACTTCTGAGCCTCTGAGCCGTTTGTAAGTTTAAATTGAGATGCAGATATTGAGAAACGGATCCCATTTAATCGAGCCAAGTTTATTCGCAAAGGGTGAGATGGATCCATCCAAGCCAATTCAAACCTGGTTACTTTATTGAACTTGAACACAAAACTCGTGCTTTGATTATTGCATCCTATATGAATCCTTAAAAACCCCTCGGCTTGACAAATATACCTAAAATGATTTTAACTCCTTTAAATGTGGCGGGATTTACCTCTACAGCAAGCAGGCTTTTCAAGCCTCACCCCAAAATCTTTTGGTTTACGGAAGGTTGGCTGAAGCCAGGAAAATTTCCTTCGGGGGTATTAGAGTACGTTCGTAGGATCGGCGCAAAGGAAGATAAGAACTGGGAAAGGGCAAGGCAAGGCTGCGATCTTGTAGCAACGTTGGCGCCAGCTTCCCAAACTCCTCGGGAGCTTCGCTGTCGAGCAAACAGGCAGAGCGGCGCAGTGCACCGAAGCGCCAGCGACTGTAGTCCAAGTCCTAAAAGAAGCTGGACTTGGAATAAACGCGCTCCAGGGTGATTTCCGGACCAGCTTGACGCCGGGTCGAACGGTTTTCCGATTCCCTTTGTGGGGAAGATGCGCTGATTTCCAGGCGACCCAAGCCTTCGGATCCGGTGGAACTTCCCCAGAGGAAGTGCCTGGATCGTCTCATTGGCCAGTCCGAGGATTTGGAATAACCCCACTTTGAAACCCCGGAGTTTTTCAAGAAACGCGTTTCTTTCAGGGTGGTGGTGGTGGGAGGAGATAGAGAACGAGGTCGAGGCCCCAGGAAGGATTTTTTTAAAAATGGATCGATTATGCCTTGTGTTTAGGTGAACAATCCATAAACTTCCTGATCCAGTGCAGCCCCTACTTTCTCCCCTCCTCCAATCAATGCGCACTAGCTGTTGGTGACCATATGGAGAAGAGAGGGCCCCCTACAGCTATTGATCGTCCGTCATTGATCCGAATTAGACTCCTAGAACCGCGCAATCTCTTTGTCCGCCCGGTCCTTTTAGGTTGCTGGTCCGCCCGCATCGTCGGCATAAAGAGCTAGATCAGTCTGGGAAATACGGCCTTGGCGTTGTGTTCCCACGTCTCTCTCACCCATGGTTCACTCAAGTAGCCTTTTATTAAAAAGAATCCCCGTTTTCCTGCTTGGGCGGAATCCTAAACTAACTACCGTACTTCGGTGGGTTCCCAATAATAGCTCAGCTAAAACACGTCCCGCTTTGCAGTTCAGTAGGTCGTGTGGATGCAGGCAGTTTGAGGGTTAACGTTAGCTTCGTCCGAAAACGGCTTCAACTGTTATCCAGGGGGCTTATTTCCGTGTAAGCCCTGCAGCGCAAAAGTATTGTGGTTTTCTATGAAAATAACAAAAGGTCACCTGAGTTTTCGGGACAATCTCTGATGCCCCAGAAAGGAAAGTGAATCTTTCCCGAATTCCAATTTTCCAGTCTTGCAATTTTAGCAATAACTTGCCGGTTGGATTGCGGTTAAGGAACGGAGAGGATCTTAAAAACAGATTTTTTTGATGGTGGTGCAGGAGGGGATACGAAGCGTCGTGAAATACTTGCAGTGACAGTACAATTTGGCTCTTCAAGCTGCTATAGAACCCTGGTTATTGTTTAATAATCGATGGCTGCGTGATGGAGAAGGAAGCTGTTCCGTTAGGTGCGAGGAATAGATTAAACGGTTATCCGGGTCTACTCACGAGTAAGCCCCGTCGGTTCTGCCTAGGGCTCACGTGCCGGTGTACGGAACTGAAAAGTTCGCGGTTTGGGTTTCATAATTGCGGGAGGAAAACAAAAAACCAGTGATAAAATTGTTTTTTGAGAAAACGGAAAATTCAGCAGGTGAACCTCTCGTTCTACCTCTCCTCCCTTATTGTGCGTCTTTTCTTCAGCTTTTCGCTTTCTCTCTTATAAGCTACTCGAGGTTTGAGTACCTTCCCCCGCCCTCCCGCCTCCACGACCGGATGAAGAGGGTGATGGTGGAGAGAGGGCGACAGAGGAAAGTTGGTTAATAACGTTAATCTGCACTGGATAAATTGAACCGCAAATTAGCCCTCTGAATGCTGGTTTAATCCAATGCGTGGATAGTTAATGGTTTGCTATTGCAGCCTCAAAACCTGGGTCAAAGGAGGAGTCCATGGTTTACTTAGACCCGGGGCTAAATTTAGAAAGTTAGCCATCCTCAAAATCCACGGTGCAGACGAAGTTTCAGTTTGCAGAAACGGGGTGAGAAAGGAGTTAAGCAGGATGGTGCCTCGAAGAGGAAGAGGCGCAGAGTTTCCACTACTTTCTGCGTCCCGGTTCACACGACGGGCTAAATCCTAAAATGGTTCGAGGGATTGTTTTGGGGCGGCGGAGAGTATAGGGTTGTTGCTGGAACACAGCACTTCGGTTTCTGAAACGTGGTTTATACGGATCCCCTTATCCGACGTCCTAGCTATCTGAGATTTGTTGGATAAAATGCGTGCTTAAGGCTTAACATATCGTGTGAACGGAGTGTAATAAAACGGATTCTCCTCTCTGGAGTAACTTTCCCCCCCACCCAAGACCAGGGCTGTCTTAACGCATGAGGCTGATGGGCACTTGCCCCTGGGCTCCACGAGCATAGGGGCCCCATACTAATCTGTGTATGTTAACCCTTCCATGCACCTTGTATCATATAAATACACCAACATATATTACATTATACTGCATTTTTTATTAATACTAACCTGAAAACATATGTTTGATTTTATCGACCATTTATTTGCATTTTTATTTCTGTGAGTAGTTGTCGTAGGGGCCCCAGTACCCTGCTTTGCCGGGGGCCATAATGCTGTTAAGGCGGCCCTGCCCAAGACCCCAAATATAAAAGGACTCGCTTCTTAGAGAACGCGGAAAACCCGATAGGATTAGTATCCGGCTTTGCGTGCTGTGTGAACTCAGCCACTGTTTATGGACCCGGTGAGGCGACTGGCCGGTCAAAAATGAAGGCGACTGCAGCCCCAATCCATATTGAAAAAGACCTACACGGTCTGTGCTCGCGCCAAGCCAGGGTACGATTTAACAGAGCGCCTTGGCTGGGTTCACACGACTCGTTCATCCAGGAAAGGTAGTTTCTCCTCGGCCACAGCTGGCTAAATTCCCGTCCCGGCTAATCCCAAACACGCTAATCCAAAGCCAGGTGCGTGGGAAATTGCCTCGGGGTCTTTAGTGCAGGTAAGTGTGCTTAAAACGCTGGAACCTGTTTTGCGTACCCGAGAGGCAGCTGCCCTTGTCCGCGCGTGGCTTTGGGCAGTACCGTGACCCAAGGCGAGGAAATAGGCTGGCTGCGGGCCGCGTTTAGTTCTTTCTCTCCTTCTGCCTTAACCCCGGCTGCCCTCTCCCTTCCTCCCCAGCGGCGTGGCGTTGTCTCGAGCCCACTTCGAAAAACAGCCTCCCTCCAACTTGAGGAAATCCAACTTCTTCCACTTCGTCTTGGCTCTCTACGACCGCCAGGGTCAGCCCGTGGAAATCGAGCGGACGGCGTTCGTGGACTTCGTGGAAAATGACAAAGTAAGGGTCTATTTTTCCGGTCTCCTGTCGTCTCGCATAATCCGCCTTTCTTGCCGCAATGAGTGCAACACGATCCGTAGCGACAGAGAAAACCAAAATTACAATGGCATCCAGCCAGCTTCTTTCTCGTTCTTTTTAAAAAATTGATCCTAGAAAGCTGGGCTCCCGAATAATAATGCTCATTTTCCTTCTCTCTCTCTGGGTTTCCTTTGCAAACTAATGACTCGGCCCGGTTCGGTCAATTTCAGTCTGGAGTTTAAAAGCTGCCCCTGCCTCATTCCCCCACTAGGACAAGATTCCGCGCGAATCTGGACCTACCCGAATCCGAATTGATGGGAAAGCAGCTGAGTTTGATTTCAAAACTAAAAGGAGAACTCCCCTCCCCCTCGTTGCGCTACAGGTGGAGAGCACACCTGGAGTGCTAGTCAATGTCACCCTCAGTTCAAGGCCAGCATAAAGCCAGGTTGTCCCTCCTTACAAATCAGGGACAGGTCTTGTCGAGAGAATAGGGGGGAAATTTAAGATTGCAGTCTCTATTTAGCTTCTCTTTGTGGTGGGAGGGAGAAGGGGCGATGCAACTGGTCAGAATGTACATCTGGAGACTTGTGACTTTCCCTTGTTCAGGCTTTGCAGTTCAGGTACCTGAATTAATTTCTAAACGGATATTTATTATTTGATTGGGAGTCCAGAAAGAATGAAGTTCAGCTGCCCTATTTTCAGTTTTTTTTCCTTTGCTCGAATGCTTCCATATATTTTTTAAAAACAGACACTGCTTTGCTCTGAAAGATTGTGTCCAGTTCTGTAAAGTTTCAGAAGGAAATAGAACTAGCCCAACAGGCCGCCGCTTCCCTTCCTGGTTATTTAAGCAGGACCCAAACTACAAAATATCTCCCCTTGCCTGGCACTAGCATGAAGCTGGCATATGCAGCCCTTGGGGAAAGGCTATTGACAGTAAAAAGTAATGCTAGTTGGAAAATCTGCCTCCTGTTCAGGAATTCTCACTCCTGTGACCCTTAAATTGGGACAATGTTATGTAGGGTTGTTTGGGAGCAGGGCCTAATAGAGCCAACTTTTCAGCAAACTATATTAATTTGCATGAGTTAACTAATTAGTGTTGAACAGGAATTTTCTTAAACCAAGGTTGCCTTGTTACTAAGCTTCTATTGAGTTTAGAGGCTGCGACTTGTAGCTCACATTAAACCTTCAACTCATGTTTGGTATGTCTAGCTTATAATTCAACATTCAGCTGCGGGAGCTGAGAAAATTGGATTAATTGAATAAACCACAATTCAGTTTTGCATGGGTAAGCATTGACAAATAGTTATTGGGACTTCTGAACAAGCAACAGGAAAGATGGCGATTCTGCTGTTAATTCTGTTGGTTCCAAGGACTCATGAACCGAGCTTATTTCTGGGAAAACTAGCTGGGTTCACACATCCCAGTAACTATAAAGTAGCTTGTTTAGATCTGGTTCATTATGTTGTGCCAAGCTAGCCACTGTGATTTATAAGCCACAGGTTCTAGTAGTGGCAACTCAGTCTAATGATTTAGTCAATAAGCTGCCATTAAGGGCTTAGCGTAATGTGTGAAGCCAGATTCTTCCTGAAATATTTTTCCTTTCTTTTACTTCTCAGGAACAAGGCAACGAAAAGACAAATAATGGGACACACTACAAATTGCAGCTTCTGTACAGCAATGGTAAGTCCTTCCCCAGCTCACCCTCAACAAAGGGCCACGATGGAGTAAGGTCATTATCAGGGTTAGCCTGGTGCCCTCCAGGTGTGAAAAAGGTAAACCTACCCACCAACTCCTGGTGATGTCATGGACACACCTATTTCTCTTCATGGTCAGGTTGTATAGTTTTCTTGGTAGTAACATGGAAATTCTTTGCTGTTGCCTTTCTCTGGAAATTTCCTTTTTAAAAAAAACTTCTCAGTTTAAGTCTCCTGGACTTTTCTGCTTATCTTCCACCCAAACATTTAACCAGTTCAAACCTTGCTTATCTTTTATGACCAGAGAAGGGGGCTTATATACTAAAGATTATTGGTATATTTAGTTGAAGGTACTATCACCTGTAATCAGTATGGGCACTATCCTGGCTGGCCAAGATGGGAAGGGTGTTACAATAGTCCTCAAGGTATCTTCCAATACACCTTGGAAAGTATTATATTGGGGGAAGGGTTACTGACTGATTCTGCTGCTCTTAGACAAGGCAATATGGAACACTGTTCGTTTTTTTTTTTTAAAGGGTGGAGTCACTCTCCATCAGGTGGTGACAAATGTGAATATATGTGTCTACAACTTTGTATGAATGTCAATAATTGTGCAATGCATATGTAGTTTTGATATCTCCCCAGGGTTTTATGCTATAGTTTTGAACCACTTTTGGAATGTGGGTTTGGGAAAGCTATAAAGGAAACTGGCCCTGGGTGGAGGAACACTTACTCAGGTATTGGAATTTGTTGTCTGGCATTATGCCTACCTCAAACGACTTGCAAAAGCCAATACATGCATAAAATCACCCAAAGTTGCATTGCAAGTCAATTTCAGTTTTGATGTTACTGGCATCAGCAACATATTTTATTGTAGAAACCCAGACTGTAGTTTCCTTTTTATAGTAAGAGATTTTTTCATTACCTTTTCTGGGGGGTGGGGGAGAGCGTAACGTTTACTATCCAGTAAAGAACAAGAAAAGATTGCTCACGCTTTCATTTTTTCTAAGAAAGATACTCCACGGTTACCACTTTTAGAAATTTGCAGCCTGGGAGGCTGACCTTCAGCCTCCCCCCATAGCATTTTATTGGAAGTTGTTGTCCTTCCTGACCACACTTGTTATATTCAGAGGGAGGAAAGCAACTGCTTGTCATGAAGGTTCAACTCATGGTTGTTCATTTCTCCTGAACCCTGGTCACAAATTTGGATGACTTTTTATTTTTATTTTCTGGATGCCCTCTGTATTTTATATTCTTTGGGTATGTTTGAGGAGCATCACATGGTCTTGCACCTATCAGAACCTTCAATTCCCTTCTGAAATTGATTAATGTGTGGTGGGATATGATTAGACTTCCTTCCCAATAAGTACTCAACAGATCAAGTGCATAAGCACTCTACGCATCTCTCATTGTGGGAGAGTAACAGAGTTCACACATCACACCTAGCTGCCTATATGCCCCTTTTAAAGTATGATTTATTAAATACATTTCAGTTCCAATTACACACTGATCCCTAAACTATGGCTTACAAAACACAACAACTGGATTTACACTAAGTGACAAAGAATCACAACAAATCATAGTTTTGGGTTAGTGCTGTCTGTGAATGTAAGCAGAGAAAGAATGGATAGTGAATCTATTAGTCATGGTTCAGTTTGATAATTTCAGATGTGGGACTAGATGATTTTGTACCAGGAATGGCAAAAGATTAGATCCAGATGTAATACTTGGACTGGAGCCAATGGAATCAATGAGGCTTAAGTTGGTGGTGAATAACCTAAGCTCCATTGACTGTAATGCGTCTATTTGAAGCAGCAGCACCTAGGCAACTTTGGTTGATCTTAGAAATTAAGTGGACTGTCTCAGGTTAATATTGAGATGAGAGGCGTCTTGGGAATTCTGAAGCTGTTTTCTAGACTGGGAATGAACAAATAAACAACTTTTGGAAAAAGCATGTTGGTAATTACTAATAATGCTTCATAAAGGCAGTCCAACTTGATTTAAGGGCAATTTTATTTTTAACTATTCCAAATATGACTTAGTTCGGACCCAATGATGTCATTCATTTATTAAAACATGCTAAGGCAATCTGCCTAGGTTTTGAAGGCCTTCTGATTTATTTTGCTGAATGACACATTTGCCCCAAAGTCCTGCTTAGAGGTCACCATGGAAAAATGGGAGAGGGAAAATGGGAGTGGAGAGAAATGTGGGCTGATGAAGAATGTGAGAAAAGAATGAGTTATTGATATATAGTAACTATTCCTAGTCTTAATTATATTTCCTAGAAGTTATAATTATCATTTACTGAATATGGATGGTCCAGAGTGAGGAAGGTAGACGTGATGAGTGATGAAGGTGTCTGTATATGAATGCTAATGTTTATATGTTTTAGCATCATGTGCTTTGGTGTCTCTTTCCCTAAACAGTTTACCTGCGAGAGAAGGCAGCCTAGAGTGGGGAGCAAATCCTTTGAAAGAGTCCCGTGTTTACCCTTCTCTCATCCTGTTTTCTTTCTGTTCCCTGTAGGTGTCAGGACTGAACAAGATCTATTTGTCAGACTCATTGATTCAGTCACAAAACAGGTGAGATTTCTGCTCCCATCCTTTAACCTCAGCCTATCTGTGTTTCTTATTATTCAGAGAAATAGTCTTATCAGGGATAGCTTGTATCTTCTAAGTCTCCAAGCCTTAGTCTCCAAGGAAGGCTTGGAGACTTACCTTGCAATATGCAAACCGATGCTTTAGTACTATTTTTTGATCACGTTGGAATTGCATTTCCCAGGATACCAGTCTGTAAATGGAGAGGACACAGTTAGAGAAGGTTATTCTTGAAGATTTGCAATTCCTTGTCTTGTTTTTATTTTCAGATTGAGAAATCATAGCAGAGAAAAGATTGTCTTATTTGTTTTAAACTGACTGACCCATATTCTCCACTTCTTTATAGCCTATCGCCTATGAAGGACAAAACAAGAACCCGGAAATGTGCAGAGTTCTACTCACCCATGAAGTTATGTGCAGGTAAGACAATGTGGTCTATGGAGATTCCCAGTCATGCAGGTCATGGTTGCCCAAAGTGCTTTTTCAAGAGGCACTACTGGACTTCTTCATTTTTCTCTGAAGATGTTTCACTTCAGAGAAGTTCAGTTGCCTCTTGAAAAAGCACCTTTGGGTAAGACAATGTTTTTCCTTTATGTTTATGGAAGTGGCACGTGATACAATCACATTCTAGTAGCTAAATAGGCCTAGATGCTCCTGTTGCTGAGATTTTTGAGGTGGAAAGGAAATGGGACATATTTGGATGAAAGGGTGATGAACAATTTTCACTAGTATATGAAGGCTAATTATCCATTCTCAACCAAGGAGATGAGAAGGTCACCTCATTAAGCAAAATCTGGAAGCATTCTTAATTAATGCTCTAAATAACATTTTAAAAAACATAATATTTGGGAAGACAGCAGTGGAGCATTCTTCTCTCTGTTCAGCCTGGCACTAACTTTTAATGTCCATTCTTCAATTGTGGCTTTGCCTTATTTGCAGACCAAATCTATTATAGCTTGTTAAAAAAAAAGTATAATGAAAGTTGGCTTAGTGCTATGTGTCAACCTAACCTCTAAATTTCTTGGTCAGGAAAGAAAGGGCACACCCACATGGACATTCCAGCTTTTTGTTTTTGTTTTTTTAAATCAAGGAATATTTCCAACAAAGTAGGAAAAGAAAAGAAAATGCAACTTCTAGAGGGCTCTGGACTGGTCTAACAATGGTAGCAATCCAGCCAGTTTCTCTCTTTTTAAAGATTTCCTGACACCAGGGAAAAAATTCCAGAGAAGGGCTGGAACACTAGATAATATTAAGCCAGATGATCTTAAGACCTGGGAATGTTCACCCAACTCTTGGCTACAGGTTTTGCTCTGTTAAGCGACTGTGATTTTTTTTTTTAAAGAGAAGGTTTAATTTATATTTTCCTGAACTTTAATTTAGCAATTGAACTTTCACAATTCCGACTTCTGAATCAGTCTATACATCTCTTCATGCAAGTCTAAAATCACATGAAGGCTGCAGTCCTATTCTCACATCTTTGTCTTAGCACCAACAGTTACAGAGTTTTGTCCTTTGTCACTGTTGCCCCAATTTAACAAGGAATGATTATGCTTGCATTTAATGCACCAACGGTGCAATTATGTCCCGTGCATGTCAACAAGGAAATTCTGCAGGTCTCAGTGCAATCATATTCGGGTAAGTGATATATACTGAAACAAATCGACAAATAAGAAATAAACACTGGGTAGCTTTAGCTATAACTATATTTTACTTTTTTTCTCTTCTTGTTAGCATGGCATCTGACCTATGATATAGAGGTAGTCCTCGTCTTACAACAGTCCCTCTAGTGACCATTCAAAGTTACAATGGCACTGAAAAATGTGTCTTATGACCGTTTTTCACAGTTACAACCTTTGGAGGATCCTCATGATCATGTGATCAAAATTCAAATGCCTGGCAACTGTTTCATATTTATGACCATTGTTGTATGCCAAGGTCATGCGCTCAGCTTTTATGACCTTCTGACAAGCAAAGTCAGTGGGGAAGCCAGATTTACTTAACAAACATGTTACTAACTTATCAACTGCAATAATTCACTTAACAACTGTGAGAAGAAGGGTCATAAAATGGGGCAAAACTACTTAATAAATGTCTCACTTAACAACATAAATTTTGGGCTCAATAGTGGTCATAAGTTGAGGACTGCGTACAATGAATCTGTTAGATAATACAGTTCTAAATAGTTCTCTGCAGAGAACTATTAGTTAGTCCTCCTCCTCCTCCTCCTCCTGGATTGCCATCTGTCAAAAATGGTATAGGGTTGGGGCGAAGCTGGACTAGATGATCCACAAGGTCTCTTCCAACTCTGTTCATATGTTAATCTGTTCATCCTCCACCCTCTCCTTCTCTTCCCTTTCTCACTCTCCCCCAGAGAAGATACTTACTATTGAGTCCTGTGTTTTTGCTTCCATTTTAGTGACAAGGTGATTAAGTAGGATGCAGGAATGTTCTGCTTATTCTTAGACACAAACTCATCTAGTAAAATCTCCAACCTCCTCAGCTGCTGTTACTTCCCTGTAGTGCCATTGGGCAGTGCTGGATCAGGCAGTTAGAACAGTTAAGGAGGTTGGAAACCGATGGAAAGTAGGAACAGGAAATATCGGGATATGGCAATATCTTCTGCCTACCTTCAGGGGCTTTTAAAGGCTGAGTATAGCAGGAAACATTTGAATTAATGGGACAATATCTTCAAAATTAAATTATTTTAAAACCACTATTTATACAAATTGACTGGTAGCATCCTTTCTTGTATAGAGTATGCATCTCTAAGGTGGTTTGTTCTGGAATATATACACTATGTCACTTAAAGGAATTCTTTCATCCTTTTTAAAAGGATTTCCTTGGTATAAGTAGAAATATTTGCCTTGGTAAAGGTGCAAGTGCAATGAATTAAGTGACAGCATTCAGAAAATGTACTTGGAAATTAATCTCAGTGGTTGAATTTACAGAACATGGCAACGGCGTTCTCCTTTTCTGAATTCAAAATATATTGAATGCAAAACTTTGCAAACAGGATTATTCAAACTTTGTGTGTGATCCACAAGGCAGCTGATTTTATCTGGATTATCCTAGTTGATGAACTTAGTGTTTCTATTTTATAAACTAGGGAATATGGTGTAGCAAAACCCAACAGTTTGGAAGTTAGGTAACATGGCTAACTCAGGCTTAGCACAATGTCTGAACCCACACGCTATTTCCAAGAACAAATTCAACCCAGACTTGTATCCATTTTCTACTAGCCATTGTTCTGACCCAACCGGGTCCCAAAAGAGCAAACACAGACAAAGGCAGCAGCCCCCACCTTTTAAGGTTTAATAACAAATTCTGTTCCTTTACAGATAAAAGGCTGCTTTCCACTAATTAGCTCCAACAAGAAAGAGCCTTGCCAAGGTATTCAGCAGTGCTGCCAAAAGCCCAGAGATAAGAACTAATTAACAAGATTCTCCAAATACAAACTAAGATGTCCGCAAGTTGAGCTTCAGAGCTTCTTTGCTGTCTGCAAAGAACGCTTTTCCAAACCTGGCTTTTCTCCCCTTGAGGGAGGGGCCATTACCTTGCAGCCTTACTCCCGAGTTGCCTGTGCTGCTGTAATTGTTCTTTCCTCCAAGTGATTCTTCGTGCATGTGCACTTAGCATAGGCTCCTCGGGAACCTCCTTGTCACTGCTGCCAGCTCCCACAATCTCTGAAGGCAGCAGTCCACTCCCTGATGGTCCTGGCCCCTCATCAGAGTCCTCGCTCTCCTCAGCCATCCATACCTGCTGCTGGCTAACCACAACCGCCACATAACAGTTAAAACTTCCCCCAGTTGATCATGTGCTATCCTTACTAAATTCTATTTAATAACAACAACAAAAAGGCTATTTAAATATTTTTTTTCCAAGTCAATTAAGAACCTCCTGACCTGCAATACATTTAACCTGCTAATCTTGGAAGTTTGCGATTCAGTGCTGTGCAAAACCATTTTGCATGACTGGCCAGCCAGACTTGCTCAACAGTAAGCTGGGCAGTATAAAAATTAAAAAAACAAATAATATCAGGATCTGTTTCCACTTGGCTTTAAGCTTAGTTAAGGAACAAAGACAGTTTTGCATCTCTCCAGAGCAGAGGTGGTATTCAGCAGGTTCTGACCAGTTCTGGAGAACCGGTAGCAGAAATTTTGAGTAGTTCGGAGAACCGGCAAATACCACCTCTGACTGGCCCTGCCCCCATCTCTCCTCTGCCTCCCATCAAGTCCCAGCTGATTGGCTGGGTCATCTTTTGTTGCCTTGCGCAGGAGGACAGAGCTGGAAAGCAGGTTAGTGGGGTGGGGAGCAGTGATGGGATTCAATTTTTTTTTACTACCGGTTCTGTAGGCGTGGCTTGGTAGTGGCATGGCATGGCTTGGTGACGTGGCTTGGTAGGTGTGGCTTGGTGGGCATGGCAGAGGAAGGATACTGCAAAATCCCCATTCCCTCCCCACCCCACTAACCTGCTTTCCAGCTCTGTTCTCCTGTTCAGGGCAACCAAAGAAGACCCAGCCAATCAGCTGGGACTCAATGGGAGGCGGAGAATAGATGGGGCAGGGCCAGTCAGAGGTGGCATTGGCCAGTTCTCCAAACTGCTCAAAATTTCTGCTACTGGTTCTCCAGAACTGGTCAGAACCTGCTGGATACCACCTCTGGTGGGGAGGGAATGGGATTTTTCAGTAACCTTCCCCCTGAAGTGGGATGGGAATGGAGATCTTGCAGCATTCTTCCTCTGCCACACTCACCAAGTCACAGCCACAGAACCAGTAGTAATTTTTTTAAAATCCCACCACTGCTCCAGAGGATAGGAAGAATATGTTCTGGTTGGTTCTGCTGGAATCTCAGTGGCTTTTGGTTGTCTAGTTGGAATGGAACTTGAAGAACTAAAAGAGGCTGTTTCTTATGGCTGTTTGGGGGGGACATGGTTTCATAAGATGCTATCAAGGGAATCTCTTATATGCCCTCACATGGCTCTGATACGCTGAAAGTTCCAGCTTGTCCCCCCTGCCTTTTAACGCGTATGCAAAAGCACCAAGAGACATTATTAGGAGGTGGGGATTTGATGCCCACAAAATGCTGGTCCTACCTAGCTCACTCCATCAGACATTTCCAAGTCAATGTCTGATGTCAGAAATGGACTAGCTGAGGACAAACAAATGGAAATTTAATCCAGACAAAACGGTGGTGCATTTTTGTCAGTCAAAAGGCTGCTGAGAGAATAAGGAATTCAAGCTGCAGTGGATGGCATGATGCTTTCTTTGAAGACTATTCAAAGTATTTTCTGGCTATTCTGGGTATTTTGCTCTGAATCTGAAGGTCCAGGGTTGATGATGGGTGAGAATGTATTTGCAGTTAAAACTAGTGCATCCTTTCCTGGATTATGTCAAATGAAATCACAGTAACATGTATGCCTT